ATCAATGAGATGCCAGTGCTTAGAGCGTGGGTGCATCCAGGACGTCTTTTTGCGAGTGGGCAGGCGGAAGATGGTATTGGTGATGATCAAATCATGAGCCGCACATGTCTTCAGTAATAGTAGGCCATTGCTGTTACATTTACCGATTCCATTTTTTCCAATGACGCCATCCCAGGCAGTGTGATCAGATCCTACTCTCGCGTTGAAATCGCCAAGTAGAATCAGCCTGTCAGTGCGCTTCACGGATGAGAGTAGGGCATCGAGATCTTCATAAAACTTGTCCTTTACTTCATCCGGATTCGTCATTGTGGGCGCGTAAGCGCTGATCAGTGTGGCTTGCTTTCCTCTCGGTAGTGGAAGATGCAGTGTCATGAGTCGGTCATTCACGCCCTTGGGAAGACTGGCAAGTTTGCGGACAAGATGATTCTTAACCGCAAAGCCAACTCCAGATTCACGACGTTCGTCACTGCTGCGTCCACGCCAGAAGAATGTGTAACCACCTCCTGTTTCCATGAGCTGACCTTCATTTGCTAGACGAGTTTCACACAGTGCCGCAATATCGATGTTAAATCTTGTGAGCTCTCTGGCGACCAGGGCTGTTCTTCTTTCTGGGCGGTCTGCTGAAGGGTTGTCCTGAAGCGTGCGTACGTTCCATGTGCCAATAGTGAGTGGTGTCACCTTGCATTTTGTTCGAAATTTTATTGTTCGACCGCATGAGATGGGATCCCTTCCAGCCGCGGTAAGCTGGCCAGGGTTCTGTGAAGCAAACAATGTTTAGGGCACCTTTTCTAGCCCCTTCCTCTTACTACGGAGGTGAGCAGTGCAATCCTAAAGAGGGCTGCTCAGTCACTCAGGTAGACGCCGAATCCAGCTGTTGCTTCCACCAGCAAGAAGACGACCATTAGACCTGAGCCGCCTGTGTGCAGGTCCGCGGCTACAGCTCCCAGTGTATCCACACCTGCTGCTTCGTCGCTCGCCCGTCGCCACAGGACTTAGGAGATGTCGAGATGTCAAGACTTGCGCGTGAATTGGATTAAAGTGAGGGAGAGGTGCGCATAGTCAGCCTCACTCTCTCTTCCCAGATTCCATCTTACTCCAATGGCAGGACTAAAGTCGAGACGGTTGGAGATGGGCTGGGCGCAGTGGTTGACCAGGGCATCTTTCATGTCTTGCCGTGCTCTTAGCGTACCACATCGCTTGCAGAAACCACCTTCATGACCGTTGGTCCTATTCTAGTAGGTCTCATCCGCTCGATCCGCCGGAGTCTGTCTTCACATGCTCGGGATAGACAAGTCCCTATCTCACCGAAGGTCGATGACCTGACGGCTACTCTCAACCTGGTTTAGCCAGCCTGTCGAAGCTGTTGCCCGGGGTGTCACCTGTGGCTCCTAGTAGCTGTAGCAATTTGAACTAGGGAGCAAGTGTAGACATACCCTAAGATGCCTAAACAAGATCCTGCTTGTTTTTGAGGCTAGAGATGCTCAGAGCATCAGGTTGCACCAAGCTTGCCCTGCCTACCAGCTATTCATGGACCTACCCTCCTTAAACATACCTTACTCTTTTTTTACCCTTGTTCTTCTCAACACCACTTGGCAAAGAGTTCTAGGGGCTTTCTGTGCTTGGTATGAAGAAGTACCTCCTTTTGCTTGTTTTAACCCAGACACCTCTTGATTCTGTCGGGCAACCCCTTGTGCTTGTGTAATGAGAAGTAGTACAAGCCTGGGGACCAACTGGTTTTGTCCAACCTGATCCAACCTGGGACTGGAACCCATGACCCTGCCCTATCCCCTAAGCCATGCAGGAACCTGCCCCACCACCTTATCATCAGGGGGCCCCTTATCCCTCCAGCCCTGGGGACGACCGGTTTTGTCCAACCTGTCCTCCACCCCAGCTGTGATTTCATAGACCTCTGTTACATGCCTCCTTTAACCATCTCTGTTCCAAGCTGAGAAGTCCCTGTCTTATTATTCTCTCCCCATATGGAAGCTGTCCCACACCCCTAGTCATTTTATTTGCCCTTCTCTGCCTCTTTTTCCATGCCAAGGTATATTTTTCAAGACGAGGTGACCAGATTTGAACACAGGATGCAAGATGTGGTTATACCATGGATTTAGAGGCTACGTCTACATTGCACTGTTATTTCGGAATAAGCTATTCTAGAATAGTTATTCCGAAATAGCATATTTCAAAATAGCACGTCTACACTTCAGGGAAGCCTCAAAATCAGTCCGAGGCAGGCTCCCCTAATGTAGATGTACTATCTCGATTTAGAGCCTCAGGAGGAATAACTTAGAATGTCCCTGGTGAGGGGCTATCATATATATAGTAGCCCAATGTCTGAGAGTCTGTAACGCTGAAATGCTGGCTGTTCCCTCTGGGCGGCGCTGTTGTCTGAAATGCTGGCTGTTCCCACTAGGCAGCGCTGTTGCTGAAATGCTGGCTGTTCCCTCTGGGTGGCGCTGTTGCCTGAAATGCTGGCTGTTCCCTCTG